ATAACTATAGATTCACATTAAGTTCTTTCTTACTACATATTATTATTGAACCAGAACAATCCATGAAATAAATCTACATTAAATTAAAGGGAAAATTCCATATTAGTACCTTATACTTTAGGGGTAGTGTCAAGTTAGTACTCGAACTTCAAAACGTGTCACTACTGTACCTAAACTTTCAAAAACTGTCAATTTAGTCACTACCTTTAGCACAGTCAATTAATTTATCACATGATGACATGTGCAACTTAAATTTTCTAAAAATATCAAAACTACCCTTCAAAAGAAGACTGAACTATACAACATCATATACCTCACAAAGGGCATCTAAAATGCCAGAAAAGAAATACAATCAAAGCAGCCTCAGAAGAAACTCTACCTTTTCCAGAACCTGCTAATATCCATTTCCATTGAAAAGTAATAATATGCATGTGAGTGTGGTAGAGGACAATCCAAGACCAATGAACATTGTTCATGTGTATTGTCGTATGTCGTTCAGGTCTGTCTACTGGCATTGTGCTCGAACATGTGGTGTTAAGCAGTGGCTCTGACGGTGGTCTCTTGGGATCACACCACCAATCCTATTGTCTCCTAGCCACAACCAAATGAAAGAGTTGTAATTACCAACCTTTGACGAAACTGCTCAGATAGGATGTTACCAGAGAGCATTTAGAACTCTTTGAGCCTACCTAGTGATGAAAATTAAACTGTTTTTAAGTTCTTTTCAGATTGAGCTTTTAAATCTCAATTTTGTTAAAGATTGAAGTACCTCTTTTCATATTCAGCTTCGAACATCCGATTCTTTTCTTAGCTTTTTCTATTCTCTGGAGTATATTTAAGCTTCAATAATTGGAGTTGTGAATAGCTCCTTGGATCAATCGTTTAAGCAAATTCATAATCCCGGTGTATGATCTTCATCTTAAATTGATTTTAAGTCAATAATGTGAACCACTGTTTAGTTTCTTGATCTTCAAGAATCTGCTAATGAACAATTCAGAAGTAGTTATTTAGATATTCCTTGGTGAATTTAGCATTTATTAGAGTGTTGCTCTTTGTTTTTGTGCTGAAAAAAAGTAAGGACTAAGTGATTTTATTGTTTCATGTAGGTTTGACACTAAAGAAGCTCTAAATGAAACTATAAAAAAAGTTTTCTACGACACTGCAATTTGTGAGCTTATATAGGACAAGTTAGTTATTTGGTGTCTTTGAAAAAGAAATTTGATTCAAACAATGTTGGTAACGTGTTTAGTGTGATAAGGTAGAGGAATAAATGGAGAACCATAAAGAAGATTTACAAGGAAATGTGTTTAGGCTATCATCTTTACAGTCAAGTGAGAACTTCAAATCCATATTGTCAGGGAGCCTAACTTTGAGGGGTTTTCCGTTTTTTCGAAGATTGAATTCTAGTCAAACTTCACGTAGAGGAGCTCGAATCAGTGGATGCCATTTTTAAGACTGAATCATGTGGTGGTCGAGGTGTTGATAAAGCGTTTTATGTGAGTGTGATAGATAAAGAAAATTAGATGATAGGTGAAGGGCATTTTTATTCTTTCATATGATACTTAACGTCCGCTAACGATTTTGGACCAACTTGATAGTTTTTGGAAGTTTAGGTACTGTAGCGACATGATTTAAAGTTCGGGTACTAACTTGACACTACCCCTAAAGTATAGGGTACGGATTTGGAATTTTCCCTAAATTAAATTAATAAAAGTAGAGGGAAAAACCTGATAACCCAAGGAAATGAGCAATGATTTCTTTATATTGGTTCACCCCATGTATTGGTGGGCAAATTTTGGGGCTTTTGGCGTTATTTGGGTCTAAGCTAGGGTTCATATTTAGGTTAACCCTTAACCTAACCCAACCAATCTAATTTACTCTCCTACTTTATTAAAGAGAGCCAAAAGGGATTAAGAGATATTTAAAGGAAAATAGAGATTTAATGGGGAGGGAAGATGTTACAAACATTGATTATTAAGATTAGAGAGAGAAGGGTGGTCTTATTGGATAGTAGATATAGCTTTTATGAGAAACCATGAAGATCCTTGAGGGTTTTAATTTTGCATTGTTATATTTTTAATGATTTTGTTTAAAAATAAAAAGGCACATGTGCGAGAAAGGAAAGTAGGAGGGACATGTTAGCTCTGTGGTGATACATATATAATATGGATAAACATGTTTGAGTGTATTTGAATATGTTAGAATATATTTAGATCTATTTTGAAAGAATTTGTAAAGTGTATCTATTTATTTAAAAAATGGAATGAAATAGAAATAAAATTGGCTAGGAGTGGGAATCTCTATGGGAATATTAGATCCCTATGGGGATGGGAAAACCTTGTCCCCGTTGGTGGGGGCAAGGACGTGGACAAGGATGGAAAATTCCGTAGGGACGGGGATGGGGATTCTATTGCCATTGGGCCCATTCCTAGCACTAAGGGGTGGGGGTTCTTGGTTTGGGGGATGGGCTACCAAGAATGACAATGGGGTGGGCATGGGATGGGGCACCCCCTCTTACTCCCCACATTATAGGCAAGATCCCCGTCTGGTTCTGCCCCATCCTCGATGACAGGGTAGGGATTCAACCCAATGGGGATAGAAAATCCTCAAATTTCCCCCACCTTGACTTGAGGCAACCACAGAAAAATACATCAAACCTGGGAGGTATTTTAGAAATGGGGATTATTAGATCCTAGGGTTTTAGGAATTTGGGGGAAATGAGATTATGGAAACTCTAAGACATCTTATATATTTAGGAGCATTTTAATAATTTATCACTAATTTTGGGGTGGTTTGAGGAATTATATTTAAACCCTATTCATGACCCAATCCTGATTAAGCTAACTTAAATCCATGGTTCAAAGCATCATACCATATAATAGGTATTAGTTTTCAAGGTCACTAATACTGACAGTTTGCAGGTCCTTACACCTTATTCTCTATGTAAGTTTGAGAACAGTGGAAATCACTTTCTTTAAAATCAAGAAGTGGAATTCTAGGCCAAGCCAAACCAACCTGACCCAATGTCTATTCTTGAACGAGGATGGAGGTTCAGCACCTTTAATTAGGTTGGGCTGTTTAAAAAGAAAATTTAAAAACCACACGCATACAACTTGGGTTGGGATAGAATTGACCTTGAACTGACCAAACCTGGACCAAGTTGCAAGTTGCACCCACGATTCAAAGTACCGATACCATTGATGTGATTTTTTTTTTTTTTTTTGTGTATCAAGAGTTTTGAGCCATCAAAACTCATTGTTTAAACACAGCAATACATACAGTATGATATGCACCAAAACATTTTGATATTTTGAACCTTGTTCTTGCACCCATTCAAATTATAAAAATTTCTTTGCTTCTTGTTCATTGTTCTTCTATGGAACATGTATTCACTCTGTTACTTTCAGAAAGCCCAGAACATTTGAGAAGAAAACTTGACTTTTCAAATGTCCCAAACCATTTGGTACATTAAACTCTTAATTTTAAAGATTCCTCAGTGGCTTAAATGTCCATCTGTCTCTTTGTGAGCTAAGAGGTGTTTTATAACTTTTCGTTCCAAAAATGACTTCACTTTATGATGAATATACCCATGTCTTTAACCTGAAATCTACCTCTTACACCACCTTCTCTCTTTTGCTTCTCTTTATTTGGTGGACCTAGTGCTAATGTGCTATTAGTAAACCATTTTTTTCCTATGAAAATCTGTGCTGCTGAAAAGATATGATGAGGGGATTTGACCGATCAAAGCCACCCTTGAATTTTGATAAATACCATTTGGTTGGTTACAATTTTTTCTAACATCATGTCTTTCTGGTATCATAGTTGAAACCTGAAACCAAATATAAAACAATCTCTTTCCAGATACCATTACATTCAAATATTCAGGTAATGCAATTGCATTTAGAGAAAAAAAAAAAAAGCAAACATTGGCTGAATCACATCAAATCCCTTTCTTGCTATCGGAAACATCAGAGTTCAGGTTTTACCAAACACCCATTAAGGCAAATTCCTGCCCCACTTCACTTTTTTGACTCATTGTGAGCAAAGATATGCAATTTGAGTAAATGTTACCTGCTTTGCAAATTGGCATTGGATGAAAACAACACATGAAGGGAAGGAATACCTACCTATTCTTTAAGCCAACCTGGCTTGGCCTGACCGCCTACTTAAAGGATGTCCTTAGTAACACACAAGTTCTGCTCACGTTTGAATCAAGTTGTTTTGAATCCATTTCTTTCACCATCCATGGGCTACGGCAGATGGCAGACTCAGGAGAAAAAACATGTGCCAAGAGTCAACCGATTCAGAAACGTATTTACAAGTTACAATACCATATTGATGATTCGGGGAAACAAAAGAGCAAAATCTTTCTCAAGTGTGCTAATATACCAAATATGATATGAACACACGCCCCTTTGAAATAAATAAAAAAAAAAAAAGAACTGGTAAAAATTCAAATCACACCAAGATCCATTATTCATGTGATCAGTGAGAACATATATCCATCAGTGAGAACATAACCCAAATCCTGAAGAACATATATTTGGTACCCCGTTCAAAACCAATATACATAAACTAGTCAAAGCCAAGAAATGGTAACCTTACCAGGTAGGATTCAGCTATTCAGGTTCAGTAATCGGACACTCATGTCAAATAACTTCAAACCGATCTGCAATTTTTCACTGGTAGTAACCTGGAAACAAAAGCAATCAGCCAGGCACGTGGCTGGAACCAGCTTATATTGGCAGTTGGAACCATAAAACCCAGAGGAACGTATATTTGATCATGTTCATGCCTGAACCCAGCCTATTGTCTCTTCTACGTAAAAGAAACTGAGGACTGGAGATAATTAGCTCTTGAGGGCACGTGAACACACGGTATTATCATGCCACAGAAACTAAAACCTAATGGAAATCGGCTGTTAAAATCTACATCAAACATTAGACAGTATGCTAATAACCAAATAATGACCAGATGCAGACTGCATGCACCAATTTAAGTATGAAAAGGCTTACTTTGGTAATTTATGGAAATGACAATATAACCATCAAAAGTACTGAATAAAATTGGTTCAATTAAACGTAAAACATGCTACAAATTTTAGTCAGAATGCTCAAGGGGTCATCCTGGAACAATTAGTACCACCACCACTTCGATAATCCATTAGCCTTGCAAAATAAACCATGTGTTAAATTGTATTCCCAGGGGAACAACTAAATTTAGCAATATATGATCAAGTCCTCATGTAGTCATACCAAGCTTATGCTAGGTTGTGTCAAGGCGCAAGGACAAAACAGAATGGTTTGAGGATGAGTGGAAATCTGATACAGGAATAGAATGGTTTGAGGATGACCGGCAATCTGATTCAAAAAACAGAACTTGTTAAAACCAAATAAACAGAATAGTAACAAACTGAAATAAATAATGGAAAAAAACCCAAAAATGGTGACTAACCTTGTACTTCAGTCCGCAACCAATCTTGAGTGCATATCAATGCCTGTAGAGTATCTGGATTCAGTGAGCTCCGGTAAGGATCAAGTACCCTATCCCCAGCATTGAATGTTGACCCCAATGGCACGGTTGCCATGGGAACCCCCAGTACATCACGAGCCATCATAGATAAGATAGGATATCTTGGCATGTGAACTTTCCACCAATTCAATATATTAAAATCCACATTCCGAGGAAAGACCGGCTCTTCCAAATACTTATCCAGATCAGACTTGCTGCGCTGGCTATTTGTAGTCTCATTAAGGAATTTATCAAACCCACTAAGCCTGTCATTGCTAACATTAGGTACAGAGGTACCAGAAAACCCACTATTATTTCGAACTTCCCAGCCTAAACCTTGATCAAGTGAAGCTAATGTTGAGCAGATTGCATATTCATTGTAGAGTTCCTTGACACTATCAGAAACAACCTTGATGCGTTCAGGGGCACTACTACCATATATCTGTGGGTAGTAATACTCCACCAACTTCATCTTGAATCGAGGATCCAAGATAACTGCTACTGCTAAAGCCAAGTTGCAAGTGCTCCAGTATTTATCAAATTTGCTTTTCATCTTTAGTGCCATAGAACCGATAACAATATCTGAGCTTTTGCACCACTCAATTAATTGTAAGTGGATATCACAAATCTCAGGAAAATAAAGGTTTGCAGTTGGATGTTTGATCCCAGAGAAAACATTACTAACTTCATTGAAGAGTTTCAGAAAGTTGCAAATGGTACTTACCTGTTCCCACTCTATGTCAGAAGGTGCCATGGTGTAGGCAGAGTCATGTTCTTGCAAAACAGAAAAAACATACCTGTATTCCAAAGACGCTTCAAGCATTTGATATGTTGCATTCCATCTCATAGGGCAATCAAGACATAGACTCTTCTCACTATAAATTTCAATTTGCTGAGCCAACTCATTAAACTTGTCTTGCCTTTCTTGTGAACTTTTAACATATCTAACACTATCACGAATCTTGTGGGTTGTTTCATTTATTGCTTCCAATGCATCTTGAACAATTAGATTCAGGATATGCGCTGCACAGCGCGCATCAAATAATTGACCATTACTCAAAAGTAACCTGTTTTGAGTTAGTCGATCTCTAATTCTGAAAACAAAGTTATCATTCGTAAAACAGTCATCCAGTGTCATGGCAAACAGCTTACGGTCAATATCCCAATCCATCAGGCATGTCATAAGAACTTCTGAAAGCAACTCTTCGGTATGAGATGGATCAACCATAACAAAGTTCAGAATCTTCTTCCGTAACTGCCAAGTCTCATCAATGTACTGTGCTGTCAAGCACAGGTATCCACCATTTTCGCAAGAAGCCCACATAGCAGCAATGAGACTAATTCTACCCTGCAATTTATCCAACATCTCATACACTTTTTGTTTCTCTTTCACATAAATTTCTATACTATCAGCCTCAACAGTGTTAGAGGACGTAAACTTGAATAATGGCTGGAGATTCTTAACGAATACTTTGAATCCGATGTGCTCAACCATAGCTAATGGGTACCCATGTAGAATGATCATGCGCACAAGATCAAGTCGACTTCGCTCTTGATCAAACTTGTAATTCTCAAGACAAAGGGGCTCATCTTTCTTCTGCTCTTGGTCAAACTTAAAATTTGCCAGGTCAAGTGGTCCCTCCTTTTTCTTTTCTCTTACAACAAGTAACTGAGCAATATCATGATTAGATATTTTTTGACACCTTTTCAAGTGATTTCTCAAATGAGACGTTCCGCTGGTACTTGACCCACTAAGTTTCTTTTTACAATGTTTACAAACAGCCACACAAACATCACCCCTTTTAACCCTTTCGAAGTCGTTCCAGACAAGAGATGTCAATCGCTTTGTCTTTTTGACAGTAGGAGGACTTGAATTTTCTTCCATTACATGGAATTAATATTTTAGCAGTCTGCAAACATGGAATACATAAAAGATAAATAGCAAGCAGAGCCAAAAAGAAGTTTATTCTGAAATCAAACAACAATAGCTTCCATAAAATTCTGACAATCATAAAAAGACAGTTTTGAGGCACCTTGGAGCATTGATGAATAAGAATAAAAGATCCTTAAATTGAACAAAAAAACACTGATTTCCACTAAGATATAAACTAGAACGTAAATAAAGGAAGAGGACAAACAATAATATGAAAGACTTCAAGTTTGTGGAAGTGATAATAACAGGTGCTGAAAGAAGCTCAAAAAGCTCCAGTTAACATTTAACATTGAAGTCCAACACCAAATAAAAGTACAAAACCACGATTAAAAACAAAACAGGAGACAATAATAGGCCATCTCCCCCTTCCCCAGGAAAAAAAAAAAAAACTAAAAGTAACCTTTTATGTGGCTTAAGAGAAGCTAATTCCAATAACTTGGCATTAACCAGGAATGACCTCTCATTGACACCTTTCTCCCAGCCCAAATCAGGCCCCTAAATTTATAGAGATTTCTACAAGCACGATTATATGCATCTTGTGAAATATTGTCAAGAAAAATCAAATTCATAGGTATATTGTCTTATAAAAGCTTCAAAATTAACCTGACTGTTTCAATTAGGCCTAACCAAATACTATATTATTTTATACTAGACTGAACAAGTTTTATACAACAGAGATGCAATATTATCCCATCATATAGCAATCAAAAAAAATTCTAGCCATCACATAATTCAGATAACTACATAAAATTAGCTTGAACTAAAGCACTAGGCACCTGCTTTAAAAAAAAAGTCATTGCATGTTTTTCCTTTTATAGAGAAAAAAATCATGCATAACTATTCAAAAGAAAAAATATATATTTTCATTTATCAACATTGATCAAAGCAAAGTTGTCAACCCCAAATAACAGAAAACATAGATTTTGCAGTGGATTTTATCTCAATGAAAAACTCACGTCAAAAGCATTCAAATCATATTTGAAATATTGACAACATAGAGGCAACATGTAGGTAGCTATATTACATGGATACTGATACAATCATACAAGTGTCAGAATCTGACACATGTACGAGATGCTGAACACAGTTTGAAGATTCAGCAGCCACACTTTATTTTCAAGTTACATTTTCTGATAATATTCTTTATGTTAAAAATAAGGAATAATTGTTGACAAAAAATAATTATAGATGCATGCATCAATGCAAGCATACTGAACAAACATGCCAAGTACCACAAATTTATAATTCATGTCCAAATTTTACCATACAAGTTGGAGACTTTGAGGTTCTTTGGTAACATATTATATATGCAACATAGAGACAAATCCCCTCAACCATTGTGTTGGTGCCAGTGTAAACATGTGCCTAACATGGGTATGATACCCACTTTGAAGTATTCATGTAACATAGCTTGAGAATATGTTTTCAAGATCTAGAATTTCTATTCACTCAGATATTTTATATCTCATTATCTCCCCCATATGAATAAGAGAAATATTAGTGGTAGATACAAAGTTGTCAATGTGATGCGGCTGACGCCTAGACAACAAGGAAACTATGGAGGGTCACCTCGCTATTGCCAAGGTATTTTGTACATGGTGCTACTATATAATTTTTTCTTCTATTTTTTTTAGATTATATTATAATAATAAAACAGATAATATTAAACTACATGATTCAGTTTGTGAATTAAAATACTAGTTTCTTTTTATTATTTTCTTATTTGTTAGGGTTCAATCAACATGTATGCTGTCTTAAACCTACCTTCAAGGATTTCAAAACCTGAACTGATGAGCAAAGAAAAACTCAAAATTTTGTCCAATCAACACATACTGATTATTTTCGTAAGGCAAATATAGGGGCTCAAACCCTCTATTTTCTAAAATTTCTTTTCCTTCTTCCAATTTTTTTTTCATGGACAGGTTGATTTTCTATGCTAAACATGAACTTTATATACATTTTTTATGAAAATTATTGACAATTACTAGTGAAACATGGTTGCTGCTTTCCATGAAACCTAGGGAACCTAAGATTCATATTTTTATTCAAAAAACCAATTGCCTAGGCAACTACATGACAAGGTGCCCCCTTGTCATCTAGCCTCACCTTCGCACCTTGAAAACTATGGGTAGGTAACAGACATCAAGAATATTGCAAACCTAATTGAAGATCAAACTTGCTCAGGGCATTTATCCATTGCACTGAAAAACTAAAAGAGTGAATGCAAAGGTCATAATTAATGGTTGAATGTCGTGCACAAGACACCTAGTTTAAACTGTCACAATCCTTGAGTATTCTGTGTTAATCAATTTAAACACCTAAAATTTTGTTCGAGTCTTTTTTATCAGTATCAAATAGAAATTCTTATTAATATAAATATAGGAATATCCCTGCACATTTGACTAGTGACAGAGAAGGAAAAACATTTCAAACATACAGCATACTGTTTATAAAAAATAAAATCTAGGACTAATTATGATCTCCTCCTCTGTCCCTTGCTAACTGATCAGCAAGTGCATTGGCTGATCTAAGAGTACAGCTGAATAAGCTGTTCAGTGAAATAGCAAAGCCTTAACTTCTCTAGTAGAAAATCTTAGCACCCAAGGGAAGGGTACTTCTTCACTGAGAATATCCATTCAATTACAATTAGAACAAGGCAGTCTCCTTCAATAGTGTGACCTGTCCATCCTGAAGCAACATCCAGTACAAGTCCTTGTAAAAAAGCCAATAGTTCTAAAAGAAGATATCCTTTTGAGTTCTGAAAGTCCCGGATTATCTAGAGCACAACCACTAAAATTTAATTTGATGGCTGTTGGACTCTGGCCAACAAAGACACCTCTTCAAGGGGATACTTCCTCCATGAACAGAGAAGAGAAGAAAAGAGAGAGAGAGAGAGAGACCAGAAATCTACTGAATGTCTTATTGCCTCTTATATAGGCTTAATTCATCAAGAATAAACAGTTGTTATGTTCTTTTATCTCAGCAGCCTAAGGTAACAGATTCTTCATCAACTTCTCAAGTTGTTGCTGACATGGCTCATGGCTCTTTTCTTCTTCTTTCTAGAGTATACCTGCTGTATTATTGGCTTGGGAGATGAATTCGCAACACTTGGGTACCTAAAAATGGCACTGTAGTTTGAAACCATTACTTTCAAATTTCAATTGCACCCTTGTGGGACCTTCATGATTTTCTTTTTTTTTTTTTTTTCTTTTTCAGGAAGGAAATGCATCTTTGACAACTGACTGAAAGAAACAGACAGAAAAAACCTTGTTAGAAACAACAAGGTTTCTGAACATTTGTAATGGATAACACTTAGATTGAAAGGAAAATTTTATAAAATATTTGTAAGGCCAGCTATGTTTTGTGGTGCAGAATGTTGGGCAGTCAAGAAACAACACATATGCTGAGATGGATCAGTGGAAAAACTAAAATGAAGAGTGTAGTCGTATGAGACTACTGACAGCCCAAGCTGTGGTGTATAATCAATGGGAAATTAAGAGGATGAGAGGAGAGAATGGGAGGAGAAAGAGAAACGAAGAGAAGAAGATTTCGAATGAAGGATTTCAGAAAAGAAGAGGATGTTTAATCTGCCGCCCCCCTCTTTCTATTAATATTAATTTTGAAGTAAGAATAAGACTGCTTACATGGCAAAATTAAAATCCTAATAAAAGACAACAATTGAAGTCCTAATAAAATACTAACAACTAATTGTGGACTGACACTTAAATAACTAGTAGTTGTATACCAGTACAATAGAAAGAGGTGGGGACCACATAGTAGTTGTATACGAGTACAATAGAAAGAGGTGGGAACCACATCAGTGGTTTCTACACTCCCCCTCAAGTTGGGAATAGATGTTTGTCATTCCCAACTTGCATAGATCTGCTTCTAACTTCTTCTTTGAAACTGCCTTGGTGAGAAGATCAGCAAGTTGCATGTTGGAGCTGATATATGGAAGACAGACTTCTTGAGATGCAACCCTTTCCCTAATAAAATGTCGATCGACTTCAATGTGCTTGGTTCTGTCATGTTGTACCGAGTTATGAGCTATATTAATAGCAACCCGATTATCACAGTACGACATTAGAGGTCTCTCATAGGTAATACCCAATTCATCGAACAGTGATTTCAACCATAGTATTTCAGTCACACCATTTGCCATGGACCGATATTTAACTTCAGCACTGGAACGAGAAACAACATTTTGTTTATTACTCCTCCAAGAAACAAGGTTACCTCCTACAAAGGCGCAATATCCAGAGGTAGACCTGACTGCATAGCTAATGTCTGGTCGTGCAAGACAAAGATATAGTAGTTTACCAACTAATCTTTGGAACATAGCTTTATCTTCAAGAKGSTCTYCACCTTYTGCACTAATCTTGTGATTCTGTTCAATAGGTGTATCAGCTGGCTTAACACCCAACTTTCCTGTTTCTTCTAACAAATCAAGGACATACTTCCTTTGAGAAACAAAGATTCCATGCTTGGACCGAGCTACTTTAATACCCAAGAAATGCGTAGCTCTCCCAGGTCCTTTACCTCAAATTCTTGATGGAGAAGTTTCTTAAGAGACTCAATTTCACTGCTATCACTCCCTGTTACTACAATGTCATCCACATATACAACAACAAGTAGAGTCAAGGAAGCATCAAGTTTCTTAATAAACAAAGTGTGATCTGATTGAGCCTGCACATAGCCAAACTTTTTAAGGGCTTGTCTGAATCTATCAAATCAAACTCTGGGGGACTGTTTTAGTCCATACAAAGCTTTATTCAACTGAAAAACCTTCTTACTTGTCTCTGTACTATAAAAATCAGAAGGTAACTGCATGTACACTTCTTTTTGCAAGTCTCCATTGAGGAAGGCATTTTTAACATCCATTTGGAACAAGAGCCAAGAGTAACTGGCTGCAAGAGACAATAACACTTTGATAGTGGTCATTTTTGCTACTGGTGCAAAAGTCTCCAAGTAATCTAC